CCTGAGAACACATCCAGGCCCCATCTCTTTTAATTTGCTCTGTTTATTTGAAGAGTTACAGTAACATGTAAGATCTGAAACAAAAGTGGCTTCATTCTTTATTTGATTACTGGCTCATAACTTCGTTCATTAGTAATTCAATGTAATTTTACACGCACACAAAAAAAATGTTTCGATTCCCTGGTGGCAGATCTACAATTTGAGGATTTGATGTTTTTCTCAATTTAAAATCACAGTAAACTGAATATCTTTGGTTTTGGACGTGCTTTGGAGATTTGTTTCCCCCTTTACATAGTTTACAGGCCTAACAATCCTCAGCTAAATCTTTAATTTATATATCAGTCTTTCATTGAACATCTTCACCTCTTGTTTGAACAGACTTTTAATCTCAGTCTAGTTTATCACAACTAATCTCTATTCTCTGTTTCGAGGACATGTTATGAGTTGACGCTATACATATAAAAATTTAATGATTGATTGACAGTCTTTGAAACCTAGATCTAAAAAGCGAAATAAAATGGCACCACCTTCTGTGAGAACAATGTTACTTCATAAGTACATTGAGTAATATGTCAACCATAGATGTTTTGGATTTAAATGATGTTCTTCAGCAGTCTTCATCATAAAGTGTGTGTGTGTGTGTGTGTTGTTACCAGAGTCGGATTCAGCGCTGTCGGTGTGGTGTTGTTCGCTCCAGCTCAGAGCAGAATTGTCATCTCCTGCAGATCGTCTGGACTTCCTAACACTCTTCTGACTCTTCAGCAGCTCCAACTCTGAGCTCAGCTCATCATTTCTGTCCCGCAGCTCCTGAACACAGCAATCATCGGTAGCTCAACTATTTATTCTTTCAATGCACGTTTTTTTCAGTGTATGTTTTTTTTTTTTTTACTGTTTTTTTCTTAAGAGCAGCAGCTTGAATTTCATTAACTGCAAGAAAAACAAGATAACTCGGTCGTCAGAATGAACAATTTATAGATTAAATTCATAAGTGCAGACATCTTGAATTTCTTTCGAAGTTGCATAAAAGCTCCCTTCTCTACAATAGATAAACTCCTCAAACCCAGTGACAACATCTCTTCCTCCTTCACAGTTGATAAATGTAATGATTTTCTTTCATTCTTTCAATCCAAAATTGACACCATTTACAGCAGCTTCAGCACTCTCACTGTCCCCTCTTCATCCCTACCCACATCCCCTCGCCTCATCACCCAACCTCTGTCTCAGTTCTCCCGTGTCCCCAAATGGGCTTTCCATCATCACCTCTAGCATGAAGTTCTCCTCCAATATTCTCGACGCCATCCCATCCAGTCTCGTCAAAAACCGTCTCCCAGCCATCGTGCCACTCATAACCTCAATCATCAACTCCTCCCTCTGCTCTGGTTCAGTACCCAAAACTCTCAAACTGGCAGCCATCACCCCCATCCTCAAGAAACCTGGACTCAATACAGACAGCATGTGCAACTTCCACCCCATCTCCAACCTCCCCTTTCTTTCAAAAATACTGGAACGTGCTGTCGCCTCCCAGATCAAATCCCACCTCTCCTCCAATAACCTGTTTGAACCATTCCAGTCCAGCTTCCATTCCCAGCACAGCACAGAAACAGCTCTCCTCAAAGTCACCAACAACCTCCTCCTCTCCTCAGACTCTGGCGTCCTCAACATCCTCATCCTCCTTGATCTCACTGCAGCCTTTGACACCATCAGCCACAGTATTCTTTTATCCCGCTCAGAACACTCTCAACATCACTAGTACTGCTCTTTCCTGGTTAAAATCCTACCTCACCGACAGACAACAATTTATCAACATCAATAACTGCTCCTCCTCCATAGCTCCTTTGTCCCAAGGCATCCCCCAGGGTTCGGTGCTTGGTCCCCTCCTGTTCATCATATGCTTGCTCCCCCTTGGTAACATTATCCGCCAGCATGGTCTCCATTTCCACTGTGATGCAGATGACATCCAGCTTTACATCTCCACCAATTAAATCACCACTGAAACCCGCTCTACCCTGACAAACTGCCTCAATGAAATAAAAACATGGATGCACACCAATTTCCTCTCTCTCAACTATACAAAATCGGACATAATAATCATCGGCCCCAAATCCCTCACCAATTCCATTCACAACTTCTCCTTCACAATAGATAACTCCACTCTCTCCCCCTCCCCTGATCACCACGTCACCCAGCTCACAAGAATCGCCTTCTTTTACCTCAAAGACATAGCCAGCCTCCGTCCGCTACTCTCATTTTCTGCTGCTGAAACCCTAATCCATGCATTCATCACATTCAGAATCAACTATTGCAATACCATCCTTTTCGGCACATCATCCAAAGTCCTTAATAAACTTAAATACATCCTAAACTCTGCTGCACACCTTCTCACCCATACACATCACCCCTGCCCTGCAAAATCTCCACTGGCTCCCTGTCCCTCACACTCCTGCATGCAGCCTCCATTCTTCAAAAGCCAACCTCCTTTCTCCCCCTCTTAGAACCAAGCACCGAACCTGGGGGGACAGAGCCTTCTCCATAGCTGCCCCCTCCCTCTGGAACTCACTCACTACACACATTCAACACTGCACTGACCCTCCTACTTTCAAATCACTAATCAAAACTCACCTCTTTAAACAAGCTTTTAATGTATGATTGTGATGTATTTTCTGTTTTCTCTAGTTTTACCTTTACTGTTGTTATCTTTATGATTTGTGTGTAATGTTGCAATGTCTGATAGTCTGTCCTTACTGTGTTGTTCTTTCTGTTTTTTAACAATTGTACAGTGTCTTTGAGTTTTTGAAAAGCACTTATAAATAAAATGTATTATCATTATTATTATTATAAAGAATATTGTTTGAGTTAATCTCAGATAGAACAAACTTCAGAAGCATCAGCTCACACTCAGCAGCATCATAGTAACAGGTATCAGCGGGCTGATACTTGTTTCCAGCTGTTCTCACCTTGATATTCTGCTGAACCCACACGAGGCATTCAAGTGCACAGACAAAAAAAGACATTAAAACTCCCTAATCAACTTTTTCTTGACAATATTTCAACTTATTGGGACAAACTTAAATTTTGTATTTATTTTATTAAGTTTAGGTATTTCACATTTCTTTCTTTAAATTTTCTAAAATCAAGCAACAACTAGTTCTGAAATGAACATGGGGAAGAATGCTCCACACAGATGAGTAAATTAAACTCTACTTTTAACATTATGAATTAATAATAACAAACAGAAAAGTCCAAATGAAAAAAGACGCACAAACACAACTACAGACTCTCACCCTGCACCGCAGCTCGTACTCTTTGACGATCTCGGAGAATCGCTCCTCATTACTCAGACCAGCACCTGAAGGGTCCAAGCTGCCAAACTGTCAATCAAAAAAAAAGAAAATGATGGTAACAGTCAAATCAATGGATCAGGAGTCAGCGCCATTATAAGCAGAAAAGAAGAAGAGGAATGAACTGAAGTCACAGAGGAAACATTGATCAATTATTCACCAGCTACAAGTTACCTTACACCACTCAGTGTGTGTGTGTGTGTGTGTGTGTTTTTGTGCTTGTATTTTTGTAAGGACTTGTGTTTCGCTGTTATAATTGAGACAGTTCTGGAAAGTTATACTTTTTTTTCCTGCTCAAGTTTAAGATTAAGGTTTTGTAAATAGTGTTAAGAAGAAATACGTTTTAGGTTAGTGTTGGAGATCAGTCATTTTTATTCTTCCTGTAGCTTTATGAGCACTGATGTTACACTCTGAAATAATGTTACCTCTGACACTCTGACATGATGTTACACTCTGACAAGTAGGACAGTTGTAGTAAAATGGGCCATTTTGTCTTGGTTCGGTTTTAGGGTTAGGAAATGCAGTTTTGAGTCAGAATTAGAGTAATTACAGAATTATGTTAAGCATTCAATTTGTTGAGTGTGTGGCTCTGCCAAAACACTGGCACACATTAACAGGTTTGTAGATCCATAGTTTTGTATTGTGATACAACTGTTTTTACCTTTGTTAATACTTATTTACATCCCAGTTAAATAAGTATTATTTATTATATCTTTGCACAATTTAAGGCAGCAGAAAAAGCTGAAAAGCCAACCAAGGTCTTATCCTTGTAAGTGGATGTGTCTAACATGATTTTAAAAAGGTGTCTAAAAAGCAACATGATCTTGTGAAAAGGTTTTTTGTGTCAAACTCATGAATCTTTGTCCAAAATGTACTTTCTCTGAGTACTCTTCTGGTCTTGTCCACCTCTTTAAGGGAAATATCAGGGGTCAGTTGCACAAAACCATTTAAGTTTTCCCCTAATTTTGACACTAGAGGCAAAAGATCTCCTTTGCTAAGCAAATTTATAGTTACTCTATACATTTGCAGCTTATTATTACAGTTTTCATGGCTAATGTCAAACACGTTTGGAAGCTGACAACTGTTATGTTGTGCTTCGCGACCTTGTCATGAAGCAGCTGGTCCAGGTCTCTCTGCAGTCTGTTGACTGAGCTTTCTGTATCAGTCAGCTTCAGCTTCACAGCACTCAGCTCCTCCTCCAGACGACAGTTCTCCTGGATAAACAAAAAGGCATTTCAATACTGTAATATTATATTTGTATAAATAGAAGTCAGCATTGAAGCCCTTCAGTGCAGGTGATATGAACTCACCTGTGTGGCGCTACAGAGCTCTTCCTGCAGCTCGGCTTCCTGTGCTTTGATGAGCTGCAGCTCAACCTGCAGTGTGCTGCGCTCTCTCTCCACCTGCTGCAGCAGAGCCTCGTTCTCCTGCTCCGACTGAGTACGAAGAGCCGCAAGTCTATCACGATATTCCTGCTCCAGGTCCCTACCAATCAAAGAGCAACAGATCATTGTCTAAGATCTTTACACAAGACAGATGTGATGTATTTCTTGTTTTTATTTTTCATTTTGTTTTTTAAGTGTCTGGAATTTGAAAGCTAACTCTAGCTCTGGCAGCTAAAGTTTAGAGATGTTAACAGTGAAATGTGTAGAAGATGATGAAGATTCTTATTTTAATTGTATTTTATTGTAGTAAGCAATAAGACTTCAAAATCAAAAATTCAGTCAGACCTGATTCTGGTTTGGTTCAGTGTCTCCATGCTGGCATGTCGGTCGTCCACCTCTCTGACAAGCTGCAGGTTCCTCTGATCAGCCAGATCCAGGTCTGTCTTCACTTTGTCCCGCTCCTTGCATGCCTGCTCTGCCACCATCCTGAACAAACAAACACACACGCACATATAGGCTCATTAAAATATGATGCTTCCTCACATGTTCACTGGGCAATTCAAGAGCTCATTATGTGTCCACAGTAGCCAAGCTGCAAAGTTTATTTCTCTTATGTCACACATGTTGCTGCAGCCACCAGAGCTGTCAGCTGTTGTTTCTTTCTATTATCCAAACATATTTGTACTCTTCACTGCAGGGGGGAGAGAACTTCAATCACTGGAGATGAAAAGTTACAGTTGTTTCCTTGAACACAATCAGCCAAATACTCATAAAAGACATACAGGTAAGAGACATAAAACATTTTCACTTCCCTGAGGTAGTTAAACTTCCCACTTACTCTAGATTTAAATGTCAGCACTTTGAAATCAGATTAATTTATTAATGTCATTGTGGGACAAAATTCAATACAATACAGCAATACAATATTGCTGTATCAAAAAATAATTAGCAGTAGTTTAAGTATTATGTCACATAGTTATGCCCATATTGCGTTGGGTAACAACCTCAAATATAGGGGGAAAAATGTTTTTCATCGTTTAATCATCAGACTTATGTTAATACAACAATTTACATGACTTAGTGACATAATATTTACTGTGCAGTTGTGGAAAAATCTGAATTAATACAAATTGATTAATCCCTTAAGCCTTCCTTTCCGGGCGTTCAGCTATAGACTTAAAATCAATTAGATTTTGATTTAATCTTCTCACAGCTTTAAGAGTTGGCAGAGACTTCTGAGTTCTGACACAACCAGCTACATAACCATGCTTTTGGTACACGCTACTATACTTTTTTTTACATTCTGCACAGGGATGTCAGTTCAAGTTTCAATGACTGCAATTCATGTGCACAATTGTTTTAATGTTATGAAAATTAGACCTGGTCTAAATTTTGTCTTGGAACATCATCTTACAAATCTAAGGCTCCTCTGAAGACATAATACATATATCATTTTAAGTCTTATGTTGGACTGTCTGAACATTCATTTCAATGCAGGTACACACCCCTTCCAGCAGGGGGCGCTCTGGCGGTATGGAATACAACACAGGACCAGGCTGAAACTATGTGACAACTCTGTACCCTCACAGAATTACTCTGAATTTATGTGCTCCTAGGTTGGTCCCAATTCAAAAGTTGAAGAAATATAGATGCTACAAAGGTAATGAGTTTAATTATAATTATTACCTAGACCTAATATATGCCCCTCCATTTTGACAGGGACAAACCATTACAGCCTATTAAGTTATTGCAGATACAAATGTGCTGAAAAATGACATGCAATACATGACTTAATACAACAACAAAAAAAAAGACTTAGTTTCAGTTTTTGCCGATATTTAGTTGGGACAGGGGACAGAGTAGGAAACCAGGGAGAGAGAGTGGGGAATGACATGCAGGAAAGGAGCCATAGGTTTGACCCGAACTTGAGCTGCCTGTTTGGAGGACTGCAGTCTCCGTACTTAATAAAAAGTTTTTGACCATCAGGTCAACCTTCACTGTGGCCCACCATGTTTCTGCATAATATTATGTTAAGTCTGCCAACTCTTCAAGTCTGTACCAACATTTTCTCTGACTTACTCACAGTTCTCTGAAGCCTGTTTCAAGGGAGCCTTCTACATGAATTTTCTCAGTTTAAAATGTTATTTTTCTGATTATCTTGACACAACATAAATGCTGGGTAAAGCTTGACAAAACAAATAATCACATACAGTAGGTTTGTTCTGTTGTCCACGTATGTTGAATACATTTCAGACAGTGTACATTGTTTAAAATAAATCTTAAATAATCTTCCCTAGTATTAACTGAAACACTTGAAACCACTCTGATACTGGTGACCTGACAGCAGCAGCTCAGCTATTGCTGTAAAGAAACACAAACCAACATTTTTTGTTGTTCAAAACTATTTCGGCCCTCAGAGAAAAGTTGATTTGCTTAATTTGACTTGTGGGCTCAACCTTTGACCTCTAGGCTGCAGCTGACCCAGTAGAGTCTGAATGGGTTGTGTTGATGGTCAGTGGATGTGACAGGAAACTACTTTGTGTCAAAAAACAATTTGAATCAGTGGTCAAGTCCAACATTAAGTCCAATGTACCCTTTTTCTCTGTCTTTAGGAGAGTAAAAGGTTTCAGAAAAAACAGTTTCATCTCAATGTTCAGCCTAGCTTAGCATAAAGACTGAGAGCAGATAGACACTGCTAGAATAGCTGCATCAAATATTCAGAATATACCTTTAAGACTTGTTAGTTTTTAACATACGTGATGAAAATCTATCAATCCATCAGTCAGCTTTATTTACTGACACTGCAGTGAGATCAATATACCATGGTCGATATTCAAAGTCAATAACATGCTGCCTATAAAGTTGGGTTGCTGCAGCCTGAGGGGATACAAACGAGTGAGCACAGAGTACAAACAGAGCAAATTATCCCCTTAGTTTCAACCATTCTGATTACTTAAGGGTTGATCTGAACTACATTAAAACTTACTCAGCAGTCGTGAGTAACTTTCAGTTTGTGTTACAACGTACACAAACTGCTAACCTTAAAGGACTGACATGGCTCCTCGTCCTCACCGCCGGCCAGTTTTTTGCCATTATAAGGTTTCTCCATAGAGCCTGTTAGCATAGCTTCCAAGCGATATGGCGGACACTGAGTTTCGATTCTGGGAGTGAGTTCCAACCCACTGATCTGTGATTGGTCTGTAGCTTCAGTGGTCGAAAATATGAGGAACTTGTGTTGTAGTTTCACCCCGCTAACAACAACAGCCTCCGATGATGCAAAAAACGTCATTTTGCGTCACTGGAAGCTCCCTTTCAGACTTAAAAATACAAAGATTTCCCATCTCAGGGGAAAATGAGGGTGGGATGCACGACCATTCAAAAATACTACCAGGTTTCTAATGATACAAAGCTTAATGCAAATGGTATCCCCCTTTAAAGGGGTTACTGTAGTTCTTTTAGTTTCAATTGTGGAGAATTTCCCCTCAACACTTCAGTAGAACACAAACATTCACCATCACCACATCTGGAGAAACATGATAATGACTTGACTGGAAGGATGCTAAACTGTTATCTGAAATAAAAGAGATGTCAGAAAAGAGTAAATAGTGCAAATGCAATATTACTCTCTGAGAAGAAGTGGAGGAAAGTATGAATAAAAGGAAATGGAAATAGTCAAGGAAAGTAAAAACACGCTGATGTTAAGTTAAAATGTTTTTAACAACAGGAAAACCTACTGCAGGTGTTGGATCTCGTTCTTGTAGGAGATGAGCGCCGCCTGGTGGATGCCGTTCCCGCTGACCAGCAGCTCATTGTCCAGAGCCAGAGTCAGGTCTGCCAGACTGAGACGCTCCTCCAGAGGGAAGTCCAGAGTCTGCAAGGGGAGAACAACAAATTGACTGAAACATGACTTTATTGTTGATTACTATTGGGTTATAAGTGATCATATTTAAGTAAAAAAACAGCCCAGTTTTTATTTGCCGTCCTGCTGCTCTTTAAATTGGATCTCAATAATTCTCGGAAGCAATTATTTATCATATTATTATTATTATAATATTGTGTTTATTGAGCTGTTCCCGATCAAAACATTTGACTAATGTAGCCTGTTTCTATTTGAAAGAGTCTATCTGTTGGTGGCAAATGTAAAACACAGTTTATGAATTACATCTGATCTTCATGAATCGTATTCTGTTATCCTCCATTTATTCTGTTGGTTTTTCTGTTGTGTTACTATTACGTTGCAGTGTCATGTATCTGCTAGTGAGACTTCACGATGACGGTCATTTAGCAGTGAGTCTGTATCTGTAGAACTTAAAGATATCTCGACATATAATCATAATTACTTAAGACTCAAAACAAATCAATTCCTATTTCCGAGTTTTGGCTTGGACTACAATAGTTGAACAATGTGCTGAAGAACAAGATGTCAACTTTTTTTAACTTCATCTCCGTCTGTCTGATCCAGAATCGCCTCATACCCTGACACCATACACTGTACAAAAACCCCTGCTTGCTCCTGACGAGTGAATGCTCTAAAACTAGGCAGTTGTGTTGAATCTCTGACAGGAAATGGAGAAACCTGAGCTTCTGTTCGGCTTCCAGAAGAAACAAAAAGGAATGAGGTGGAGCTGCTCTGGTTTAGGGAAACCCTGGACCTCACAGCAGAAAACCACAGGCTGATGAGGTTAGTTTGGCTGTAGCTTAAAAGACTGAGTGCAGTTCAACTTTAAATCAAGCAGTTCCCAGGAGGGAGGACTTAAAAAACAAGGAAACATGCAGAGTGGAGGGTAAAGTGAGAGTAATTTAACCGGGCTTGTTTGTTTATCTTACAAAAATCTCTGAACTCTGATATGCTCCAGAACTGGCTCCTTTTCTGTGTTTATCAGGGAGACAACAGGAAGTCTGAACTGAGCTCTAATTGGTGAAACTTTAATGAAAATTGTTAACTGATCTGAGACTCCAACAGTGTAAAAATTGCATTGCGTGATTTTTTACTTACAAAGTAGAAGATGTGTGTGTGCATTTGTGTGTGCGTGTCTGTCAATTCTCTCACATGTGCGTGCGTGTGTGAGAGAGACAGTGAGAGAAAGAGATATAAATATGAAAATATAAAGATAAATAGTTGTATTCACTTTAACTGAATCAAGATGGATTGGAATCTGTCTGAGCAGGAGAGGACCAGACCCATCTGACAGGGACGGGCCGCCCCCCTAATATAATGGTAGGGGAAACACTGAGCCATGGTTCCCAGACTGCATAAATGATTTATCAGAAAATTATGAAATCCAAACTGAAAGAACATTACGCAACACAAACAGAGCAAATTGTTAAGTAACTACTCTTTCAAAGGAGACGAATTATAGACAAGAGTTTCTGGATTCACCCTGCATTGTATCATGCAGGAGTACTGATCTTCCTGTTCAGTTTACAGATTCATCACCATGGCATAGCTCAAGGTCTCCACTGCTTAAAGTCGATTATTTAAAACAGTTTTATAAATATAAAAAGCTGAGAGAAAACAACAAACTAAAACCTCGTCACCATAATACACGCCTTCGTCCAACCTCTCAGTCATGTTGCCAATATTCCTCCTCCTTGTCCATACTGACCTGCAGAATGTCCCAGCTGTTTCTGATGCCCTCCTCGGTCCAGAGGGCCGTCACCCGCTCGGGGGTGCTGCATCCTGAGCCGTCATCCAGCCGGCTGAGGACTCTGTGACCAACAGTGGCCGTTAGTAGGGACGGAGTTGTGGAACGAGCGCAGTGCTCCTCTGAGACAGCTTCAGACTGCATGGACGACAAGAAACTGGATTCAGACTTCAGAGCACATCAGCCCTGTGAGGTGAAAGTGTGCCTGTTCTCGTTTCAAACCAGATGAACGAGTTGCAGTGCTGAGATCTGTGTTGTGATCAGCATTAGAAGGTTTCACAGACAAAGGGGCTTTAAAACAGCAGTAATGAACAGATTTCTCAGGGTCCTAATAAACGCCTGTTGTTGCGGTGTGATGTGGTAACATTTAATCTGGATTAGCCTACTTTCATTGAGAGACATGCAGATCTGAGCACTAACATCCCAGAAACACAAACCCGAACATGGAGAGTAGTGGACCGTGGAGGTTCCCACTACACAGTAATACATTCCCATGAGGAAAAATCTGGTCTGATTATCCCCTAAACAATTAATTGTGTTCCTTTTTTTATATTCTGTTGTAATGTCTATAAGTCTGAGTCTACAAAGTTATATATTAATTATTAATATTATCAATAAATGGAGTGCAGTATAGTGTACAATGTTTTCCCTGGAGATGTAGCAGAGGAGAAGTAAAAAGTAGCAAAAAATGAAAACACTAAATTGTGCTAAGTAGAGAACTTGAGTTAATAATCTTGGCGACTTTCAAACCCTGCAAGCTAAGGCGTAGAGCAGGGTCAACATGTCAACCTGCATCACAAGGCATGAAAGAGTGAAGAGATTACATGCAGATCTGAGCAACAACACCCCAGAAACACCAACCAGAACATGGAGAGCTCATTCTAGTGAAAAGATTATAATGTTACAATTAGAAAGCAAGACCAAACTGCTTGTACAGAAAGACAATATGTTTGCCAATCTAACTTAAAAAAACAGTAATAACATTAAAATTCCTCTTAAGGTGAAGAAAAGGAAGACATTTAAATTTTCTGGCCCCTCTAACAATGTCAAAGACTACTTTAAGTGGTGCTCTAAGTGGCATAAAAGCTGGTTTATGCATAATATATAATGAAGCACTGCTGCAAGTTTTTGGTCTTGGTTCCCTTGGTCTTGGTTCCCTAATCTTACTCTAAGCTATTTTTAAGTATTACATAAGAAAAGCTGTTTTGGGGTTGCCGTGG